TCATTGCTATGTGTTTATTCTTATTCAATATTTTTATTGTACTTGATAAACTCTGTAATTTGAATTCATGTCTTTGATTTGTTATTACTTCTCTTGTATTAGTTTTAAAAAAATATATTTTTATTGATTTCAGAGAGGAAGGAAGAGGGAGAGAGAGAGATGGAAACATGAATCATTGACCAGTTGCCTCCTGCATGTGTCCTGACCAGGAATTGAACCATGACCTCCTGCTTCATAGGTCATTGCTCAACCACTGAACCACACTGCCTGGGCTTGGACAATTTCTTCCATTTGAACTTTTTTATTAGTTGGATGTTGGACTAGTAGCTTAATGTTAAAATGTTAGACTGATTAGATTATTAGATTGATCCTATAGTTTACTTATTTCTTTCTTAGGGTAGAGTCCCTTATTTTTGAATTCTCCTGAGAGTAAATCTCTAGTCTTCTGCTGGTTGGAGAGGGATAGTTGCCTGGCTGTGCTTTTAATACTGGTTTTCAGCCAATCCTGTTCTTTGTTCATTGCCATCTCTAATTTTAAAGGTACTGATGCTCCCATTTCATAAGCCTTTTCAAGTTCTATGTTGCAAAAGCTTCTCCTTGGCTTTCTTCTTTTGCAGATGCTTGGTTTTTTTTTTTTTGCTTGCTGGGTTATAACATGTACAACCTGCTTTCTCTTGGCCTGTCTGTCCTCTTAGGATTATGCCTTTGTGTTCCTTTGCTGTCTTTTTAGTGAAGTTTTGATAGGGAGCTTTTAAGTGTAATACTACTATTATTTCTGTTATAATTGTCTCTTGTTAGCCAGACTTAGTTTGTCATTGGACTGAAGTTTTGGCTTTGATTGACAGTACTCTTCAGTCAAGTTTTGATTAAAGTCTTCTCTTTGTTGTGTTTAAGTATATGCCATCTATGTTTTTATAGGGCATGGTTCTTAAGTGATATTTTTCTTGTGACCATTGTGATATATTGCATTGCAAATGTTTGAAATAAATGGTTTACATTTTGAAGTTACGCATGGTAATCCTTGAATTTGTCAGCTGAATAAAAAGAAGTGTAAGGCTTTGTGTTTTTACTAGGTGTACCGGTTAATAATGGTGGATTTTGTGATCTAAGAAAACACGATAATTTCAAGAGAAATATCAAAAGTGTTTTATTCAAAGTAATGTCCATTGCTAGGTATAAATTTCCCCCATCTTTCAAGTAATTTAATTTGTGGATACCGTCCCAATAGAACTTTTCTTGTTTTGAGGCAAACCATTCAGAGATCCAATTTTCCACTTCTTCCTACGTTGTGAAGTGCTACTCAGAAAGTGCGTGTGCCATCTATCGGAACAAGTGGTAATCTGAAGGAGCAAGGTCTGGTGAATACAGCGGATGGGTTAATACTTTGCAGGCAAGATCTTTTAACGCGTCTTTAACTGGTTTTGAAGTGTGTGATGGTGCATCATCATGAAGCAAAATTACTTTGCCGTGTCTTCTGACACATTCTAGTCGTTTCACGATCAAAGCGTGGTTCAAACTGATTATTTGTTGTCGGTAGCGTATTAAGGGTTTCACCTGGTTTTAGAAGCTCATAATACACCACACCTTCCTGATCCCACCAAACGCAGAGCATTGTCTTTTTTCTGAAGCGACTTGGCCTTGCAGTCAATGTTGATGGTTGACCTGGATTAACCCATGATTTTGTGCATTTGGGATTCTCAAAATAAATCCACTTTTCATCGCCAGTCACAATTCGATGCAAAAAAGACTTTCTTTCGTGCCGTTGAAGCAACATTTTACTGATGACTTTTCGGTTTTCCATTTGTCTTTCGTTCAGTTGATGTGGCACCCATTTTCCTTCCTTTAAAATCTTTCCTATTGCTTGTAAACGATCGGAAATGGTTTGCTGAGCACCGCTTAATCTTTCTGCAAGTTGTTTTTGAGTTCAACACGCATTTTCATCTAATAATGCTTGTAATTGTTGGTCTTCAAACTTTTTCGATTGACCTGGATGTTCTTTGTCTTTCACATTGAAATCATCACTTTTAAAGCGTTTAAACCAGCGTTCACAAGTATCTTGAGATGAAGCACGTTCACCATAAGCTTCCTGAAGTATACAATAACTTTTTCTTCAAAATAAAGTAATGAATTAAAACTTCCCGCAAATGCTCTTTTTTTTGGCACAAAATTCAACATTTTTAAGCGTAAAAATATCTATGATGTTAACACCTTCAGCAAATTTGACATACGAAGTTTTGAAGCTTGCTGTCAATACAACAAAATAGCATACATATCAAATCGCATATATATAGCCCTAACTGGTTTGGTTCAGTGGATAGAGCATCGGTCTGCGAACTGAAAGGTCCCAGGTTTGATTCCGGTCAAGGGCATGTACCTTGGTTGTGGGCACATCCCCAGTAAGAGGTATGCAGGAGGCAGCTGATCGATGTTTCTCTCTCATCGATGTTTCTAACTCTATCCCTCTCCCTTCCTCTCTGTAAAAAAATCAATAAAATATATTTTTAAAATAGCATATATATCAACATATGTGTAACTCCATCTATTGAAAAAAAATCCGCATTATTAACTGGTACACCTAGTATATAGTCTTAGGGCTGGTTAGATTGTTAGAGTATTATATGCATGAAGCCAAACTCATGGCTTTTATTTCTGTGTGAGATAGCTTTGTCTTATTCTTTGGCCAGACCCTGATTCTGTTGAGTGTTGTTTTCACAGCTAGCTATGTGCCAGTAATCAGACTGGTTGGGAAAGCATGACTGGATCTGTGCATCATTACTAATGGAAATTTAGCTTGAAGTGCTTTGAATGCAAAGCAGATTATTATGCAATGGTGATCATTGTATTGGATAGTAAAGATTATTGAGAGGGCTTCTATTCTCCCACTTCCTTTACTAGTCCTCTCCACTTGCTTCAGCCAAACTGGCTTCCTTATTGTTCCTCAAACACTTGGCATGCTTCTTAACTTAGGGCCCTTGCTCTGGCTACTCCCTCTGTATCTTGCTAGGGTAACTGCTTTATTTCCTTCACATCTTTGCTCAGATTTCAACTTTGTCATGAGGCTTTTTGTGACTAATTAATACTTCAATTTACCCTCATTCTGCTCCTTGCGAGACCTTTTAAATGCTTTTTAAAATTTCTTCTACAGGATTTATCACTTCAAAATTTACATATTATGTTTATTGTGTGTCTTCATCCACTAGAATATAAGTTCCGTAAAGGCAAATATTTTTGTTTTACTCATAGACATATCTCAAGCACCTAGAATAGTAGCTGACAGTGTAGAAGCACTGGAAAGATTTGAAAGAAAGGCATTTTAATTCATTCATTTGCTTCCAGACAACCCTTTATCTAAACCACCCTCATTGTCTTCTACACTATAAAATCTGAAAATAAATTTTTTCTCTTTATAATTTTTCTGGTTAGCTCTTAAAAGAAGAGTTTCTTTGTGGGTATGATAAAAGAAGCTGAAGAATTAGAAATGTGTTCAACTCTGCATATGAACTTATGTGTGTTCTACCAAGCTTTCAGATATTTCACGAGTGGAAAACTTTGCTTTGGCTATAGGTTTATCTTTGTCTTCAATTGTATCCTAGATCACAAGAGTTGAAAACATTTTCTTCACTTATTTATAACATATGCACCCCTCTTCATTTTTTAAGCACCTTAAAAAAAATTGATTTTAGAGAGAGGAGGTGGGGGAGAAACATCGATCTGATGTTCCACCCATTCACGCACCCATTAGTAAGTTCATTGTATGTGTATATCACATTTTTTAATCCATTAATCTTTTGATGATTGTTTCCACCTTTTGGCTATTGTGAATAATGCTGCTGTGAACATTCGTATGCAAGTATCTGTCTGAATCCTAGCTTTCAATTCTTTCGGGTATATACCTAGAGATGGAATTGCTGGATCATGTGGTAATTATTTAATTTTTCTCCTAACTCTTGATACAGTAAAATATAGTAATGTATATTCAAAAAGGAAAATTACTTTGAGTTCAAATAACTATGTCACAGTCCTTTTTATTACGTTGTCAGTGAAACTGGAAACTGCCTGTATTGCAGGGGTGGGAAACCTTTTTCTGCCAAGGGCCTTTTGGATATTTATAACATCATTCGCAGGCTATACAAAATTATCAACTTAAAAATTAGCCTGCTCTATTTGGTCAAACATTTAGTTAACTCACCCCTAATGCCTTGGCAGGGCCAGACCAAATGATTTCTCAGACCTTGTATGGCCTGGTGGCCGGACATTCCCCACCCTTGTTTTATAGAGTGTGAAAGATGTACAATATCAGCTTCTGGAAGATAGGGGGCCTTGGTACATGTATATTATATACAATGCCAGGTTTGATGTGAGCATTCGGCCAAATTGGCCAGTTTATCTCATTACTTCCTACATTATTACATTCTATGCTACATTTCAGTAAATCTAATATTATAATCCGATCTTTCCATGTTATTCCTTTATAATCTTCCATGTAAAACTTTTCTCCTTTTGAAAAATTATAGTCTCTTTTTCAAAATAGCCTCTGAATCCATTGTTTGCTTGACATTTTTATTAAAATTTAAAATTTTTTGGTACATTTTCTAATTTCAGGGATTATGTTTCTTTTGTACTATATATAATATTTATTCTCATGTCTATTTTTGGTCTGTATTATTTTATATTTTGAGGTCCTTGAGGATATGGAGTACATATATGTGCTTAGTTTTCTCAAGGTATATAATGTACAAAGTGTAAATTCATTAAATGTTTTGGAATGCCTGGTTCATTTAAGGTAGGTACAATAACAATTAAATAATAAAGTTTAAAACTCCCAAAAATCATTGTCTCATTCCATACTTTCAAATGTTGACAAGTTTTAGTTTTGTCAGATATTTATTGGAAGGAAATTTGAACTCTAGGCCCAGAATAATTTTTGTATTTAGCAAGTATGATGTAGAGTCAGAGTACATGAATCTTTCGTTTCCTAAGTAATTTTTCTTTCTTTTCAGATTGTTGCCAGCAAAGGAGGTTTTGAAATGGTCACCAAAGAAAAGAAATGGTCTAAAGTGGGTAGCCGCTTGGGATATCTCCCAGGAAAAGGAACTGGGTCTCTTTTAAAGTCACACTATGAAAGAATTCTCTACCCATATGAGCTTTTCCAGTCTGGTGTCAGCCTTATGGTGAGATGCATCATTTTTTTTTTTTTTTGGGAGTGGATAAATCCAGTCTGCTATGTATAAACTTTAGACTGTGTTCACCATAAGTTAGCAGTTGACTGTGCATAGAAAGTTGAAAAAGATTTCTCCATGTACCAGAATTTTGGGGAGCAAGGTGTAGTTTAAAAATCAGCTATTTTTGGTGGTTTACAAAATAAAAGCTAATGGGAATGAAGGCTCTTTTTCTTATTTAAAATAAAGTCCTGTACGCTTTTTGAAAAATTCCTTTTAAAAAAAATATTTTTATTGATTTCAGAGAGGAAGGGAGAGGGAGAGAGAGAGAGAGATTAAAATATCAATGATGAGGGAGACTCATGACTACTTCCTGAACGCCCCTTACTGGGGATCGAGCCCACAACCCAGGCATGTGCCCTGACCAGGAATCGAATCCAGGACCCTCAGGCCGATGCTCTATCCACTGAGCCAAACTGGCTAGGACAAATTCCTCCTCTTTGTTTTATGTATTTTTTAACAGCTTTATTGAGGTATAATTTACATACCATAAAATTCACTCATTGTAGGTACTCCGATAGTAAGCTTTAATGAATTATACAGCACAATCTAGTTTTAGAACACTTCCATCAGCCTAAAAAGTTTCTTTGTGTTCATTTATAGTTGGTTTCTACTTCTACCTCCAAACCTAGACAATTCTTGACCAATTTTTTGACTCTATAGTTTTGCCTTTTCTAGATATTTTACATAGATGGCAGCATACAATATGATTTTGTGTCTGGCTTCTTTCACTTAGACCAGCAGTTCTCAACCTGTGGGTCGCGACCCCTTTGCGGGTCGAACAACCCTTTCACAGGGGTCGCCTAAGACCATCGGAAAACACATATATAATTACATATTGTTTTTGTGATTAATCACTATGCTTTAATTATGTTCAATTTGTAACAATGAAATTGGGGGTTACCACAACATGAGGAACTGTATTAAAGGATCGCGGCATTAGGAAGGTTGAGAACCACTGACTTAGACTAATGTTTTTAAGGTTCATCCATGCTTTAGCATGTATTAGTACTTCATTCCTTTCTATGGTTGAATGATATATGGCTATACAGTGGGGCCTTGACTTACGAGTGTCCCCACTAACGAGTTTCTCCGAGATACGAGCCGTCTCTCGGCTGATTTTTTGCTTTGAGTTGACAGAGTAATTTGTTAACGAGCTCCTTAATGAGCTCCGTCACGCAATGAATTAAACTCGTAAGTCAAGGCCCCACTGTACCACATTTGTTTATCCATGTACTAGTTGATGGACAGTTGGGTTCTTTCCAGTTTATGGTTATTATGAATAATGCTGTGAAATCAAGTACAAGTCTTTGTGTGGACATATATTTTCATTTCTCTTGGGTGGATACCTAGGAATGGAATTGCTGGGTTATATGGTAAGTTTATGTTTAACTTTTTAAGAAACTGCCAAACAGTTTTCCAAAGTGGCTGAACCATTTTACATTTGCATCAGTAATGTAGAGGCTTCCAGTTTCTCCATGTCTTTGCCAGCAGTTGGTATTGTCAGTTTATTTGATTATAGCCATTTTAGTGGGTGTGTAGTGGTATCTCATTGTGATTTTAATTTTCATTTCTCTAATGACTAATGGTGTTCTGCATCTGTATATCTTCCTTTATGAAGTGTCTGTTGAGATATTTTTTATTGGGTTGTTTCTCATCTTATACTTATTCTGAGTTCTAGATACAAGTTCTTTATCAGAAAATGATTTTACAAATATTTTCTTGTTGTCTGTAGTTTATCTTTTCATTTTACAATGGTGTCTATTTCTAGAGTAATTTATCAACTTTTTTCTCTCCCCATTTGTGGATGGTATTTCTGTTATAACTAAGAAATCTTTTCTTGACCCAAGACCACAAAGATTTTCTTCTTTATTTTCATCTAGACTTTTTAGTTTTAGCCTTTTGTTGAAGTCTTTGATCCATTTTGAATTCTTTTTGTGTACAGTATAAGGTAAAGAAAGGCATATACGTTTTTTTTGATGGGCACAGGGTGTATGAATATCGAATTGTACTAGCACTATTTGTTTAAAAGACTACCCTTTACTCATTGATTTCCTTTGGCACCTTTGTTGAAAATCAATTGACTTTAAATATGTGGGTTTATTTCTGGTCTCTGTTTTGTTTTTTGATCTATATATTTACCCTAACACCAATACTATGTTGTCTTAGTACTAAAGCTTTTTAGTACATTCTTTTTACATTTTCTTTTCTTTTTTATTGAATTTACTAGTATGACATTGGTTAATAAAATTTATAGTAAATTTTGATACCCAGTAGTGTAAGTCCTCAAACTTTGTTCTTCTTTTTTCCATAATTTCTAAAAACTTTGCATTTCCAGATAAATTTTAGGATCAGCTTCTCATTTTCTACAAAAGCCTGCTAGACTTTTGATAGGGATTATCTTAAATCTATAGATCAATTTGGTGGGAGAATTGTCAACTGGTTTCATGGAGTATTAGGGATTTATTGGAAATTTACTATTTTTCTTGAGTCTCAAATCTGATCTCTTATCAGTGAATCTGCTCTCTTTCTGTGCTCTGATTCTTTAGGGTGTACAAATGCCTAATTTAGATCTTAAGGAAAAAGTGGAGCCTGAGGTTCTTGGCACTGAAGTCCAAACTTCCCCAGAGCCGGGCACAAGAATGAATATTCTGCCAAAGAGAACAAGACGTGTCAAGTCTCAGGTATCCATTTCCATGGGCCATTTTTAACAGGAATTTTAAATGCATAACTGTGCATCTGGTTATGGGAGGTCATTCAAATACTTTTATTCATTAACATTTAAATAGACCTATCTTTAAATTACTTTTGAGATGAATGGGGAAGAAATTATAAAATTCAGTGTGATTTGATTTAGAAAGCTTTTTGGTAATTTTTGAATAAAAGCTTTTTGGTAATTTTTGAATAGTTTTTGACAGGAATGGCAAATTACAGGGTGGTTCTGGATATTGTAGGGTCAGTTTTCCAGACATGCTGATGAAATGGTTAGCAGAAATGAGAGGAGTAGGAAAGAGTGGTCTTGTATTTCACTTGTCATTCCTTTAAAAACCAGAGTATAAGTTTCTTAGTGTCTTGATCATTCCAGTGTAACTTCTATACTGTTCTTGTAACCTAAAATAATTTCAAAGCCTAATGGATGCATCAGAGAAGTGCCCTAATTTCTTTTGGTCTGCTCTTCCTTACTATTCCCATTTCTCTGTGGTCCCAAAAGTTGTATATTTTTTAGAATTCTTACCCGAGGATGTGTTTTTATTGATTTTTAGAGAGAGAGCAAGGGAGAAACATCGATGTGAGAGAAACATTGATTGGTTGCCTCCTGTATGCGCTCCAACCGGGGCTCAAACCCGCAATCTAGGTATATGCCCCGACTGGGAATCGAGCCACCTGGCCAGAGCCCCAGAGTTGTCTTTTTTAAGGTTTTTGTTAAAGACAAGTCAGTAAGCTGGGATAGTGAGGTGCCCTTAGAAGTCTGAGATGTGGTCCATTTAAATTAAACATAAGAGTAGATCAAAATACAGCTTAATTGGATCTAATCATTGACTTGAACATATCTAAAAAATAATGTGTTGAAAGAATAGGAATGGTTTACACTGAAAGTGGGAATCAGAGAAGGAAGATAGTTCATGACAAGAGACACTGTATCAAGAGACACTATCTAGGTGGTAAGGAGTCTTGTCACTGTAGAGGTAGGCTAGTGATAACTTTATCCTGCCTTTTTAGAGCTCAGGGGACATCTCTCTTTCATACCATGTCTCCTTCCATTGTTCTGAGTTTATGCTTATTAAATAACCTCCTGATGTAATCAATTAGTGTCTTGGGTATTTTGATAGTAGAAAGATAGGTGTCTTGGATGGGAATATGAATTTAATGGAAATTGTTGGAAGGTGATAGTCCCATTATAGATTAGTAAACTCTGGTTTAGTAATTAAGTGATTTTTCTTGCTATGATTGATATCAGAAGTTCTGATCACTTTGGGGTCATGATTTATTTTAAGATCTGAAACACTTGAAGAATAGTCTTGTTGACATGATGACTCAACTCTGAAAAGTTGCCCCGGGTGGCCCTGCCCATCTAATCAATTGCCAGCTTGTGATGAAATCCCTTTTGATGTTTCTTCTAAAACCATGAAAAAGTTCTGCTTACTTTTA